GATCTGTTACATCTTATTTTGATATGGCCTGTGTTTAGTGTTCAGTAACCCCCCAGTTATCTCTCTGATCCCTTTCACCTGTGTTGCTCCCGCCTGCTCGTTAGTCCCTGGTGTATATATGTTTGGTGTTTCGTTGTTGCTTGTCATGCTCCGTGTTGTGTGTCGCTGTTTCGTGTGGATTTGGCTTTCCTTTGGTTACCTGTTTTGTTTAGACATTTGGTTATCTTGGATTCTTGAATACTACCACTAGTAAGTGTGCACGCCTTGAATTTCTTTAATAAACCTCTGACCTGCACCTGCTCTGCTTTGAGTCCTGCATTTGGGTCCTCAACCTTCCCTACACACCAAACCGTGACAGGTGTTACACACATTCAACGAGCCAGTATCTATGCTCACTCAGCATTGGAGGGTTTTTATCAAAACCACTCCGCGCTAACTGGTTTCGAATAGCACTCAATGTGAAAGAGCAAACAAATAGGTAGGGCGAGAGGGGAGCAAGTACTTTGGGAAAGGCCCTGGGATTGGGCCTCTGGGTGTGGCTCTCCGACTCTCCTCAGGTCAGCCAGGTTTATCTCACCTGTGATCACCCGCGCACCTGAGGCACATCCAAGTAATCAAGCCCTCCTGCATTTAAATCCTGGTTCTTCACTACCTCATCAGTTTACTCATGCGGTACAGTACTACGGCCCATCCCCAGGTGCTTGTTTCTGCTTCCTGGAGTTGCTAAGCCTAACAGTGTTTTCCTGTTCTACCAGCCTGTCTCAGTGTTTCCGCTACCTGCCCTGCTCTCACCACACGCCTGCCTCTCAGAAGCAGCTCTAAAATTTCTGACCTCCAATTAGAAAAAGTACCATGGAAGGCCACTTAAATCGGATTCCTCCTCGTGAACTCTGAACTGGAATTTCTGAATTCCCAGGTGGAAATTTCAACTGAAATGCATGTGTCACATAAAACTCCTTTCTTAATTACCTCCAGAGGAATCTATTAAATCTTGTTTACTGTTTATTAAGAAGAAACATCCCTTTTTCAGGATGCTATTTTCCTAAGAATTCTGTAAACATCCAAATAACTTTACAAAACATGATTGTAAAGGTTGTAAACAGTGTTTTTCATATTTGTTTAATGAACCAAAACAACACAGTCTCACTCCCTACTCGTCAAATGTCTGACCCATGGTCAAGGCCCTTTGTCGTCGCTTTTTAAAGACTTGGGTAGCCCTTTTGCATCAATTATTGACGTTTAGGGACCCACAGTCAAGTTAGCAACGCTTTGCAACAATAAATATGCAATATCCGGTTACACTTTCAAGATAAAACGTAACGTTTCGATACATTGCCATGTTGAAACGCGCATAATTAAAGTCGTGAAACGTTGCAGTTTCGTTAGGTTTAGGCACAGAAAGTACTTGGTTGGGTTTAGGCAACAAAACTACTTGGTTAAGGTTAGGAAAAGATCATGGTTTGGGTTAAAATAGCTATGTATGTCACTTAAGACTTAAGTTAACTAACGTTAATGTCAATTTACCTCACTCGCCTAAATAAAAACATTTAATGTTTTGTTTCGCACGGGACACAAACCCTGTTCTCCTGCTTCAAGGTCCGGGTTCTGGCCCTCTATCCACCCCAATCACCTCCTTACTTCGTCTTTTCTCTTAAATATCATACTTGCCTTTACCATCAAAAACTGACACAACAGGGCTTCCCTCAACACGTCGAACTATGACGTCAAAGGGATCCCTAGTGCGTCACAAACTGACGATTATGGCTCTTGACCAAGCGTCCATATGTGACGACTTGGGAGTGAGACCGGGTTGACCAAAAACAATTAATGAACAGTTGTTAAGACACTGACAGTGGAGAGACAGTACCAATTAAAGGTCACTGTTAAAAAAAACTTAGCACACTAAAGAATGTACCTCCAACGGGTCGGCCACCAAACGGCCAACTAAAAAGACTGAGTGTCCCAAAGCGGCACTTCTCCTGCTCTGCAGAAAAAGGCGAGACGGCAGGCAGAGCTCCCAGGTATTCCGCAATAATTAAGATGCCGCCCGCCGATACTCAGAGCAACAAATCAGCTTATTTTTGGACTTAAAACGGTGGGAACAGCAAAAGTAAGTCAGCAGTTTTGACGATCGTGTGCAGCCCCCCCTGTACAGGGGGCGTCTGTGTTCAACTTAATTGATTTCTGTAGAGGTGAATAGAGAAGACCCTCAGGTTTTAGGAGGTTTTTATTCAAACAGTACCTCAGGTATTAGAAAATGCTTTTATAAAGGGCGCCATAACATAAGGAACGTGGAGATAACGAGACCAGATGAAACATATTAATTCAATTCAAATCAGTTCAACTCAATTTTATTTATATAGCGCCAAATCACAACAACAGTTATCTCACAGCGCTTTTCATAAAAGAGCAGGTCTAGACCGTACTCTGTGATGATATTTACAGAAGCCCAACAATTCCCACCAAGAGCAGCACTAGGAGACAGAGGCAAGGAAAAACTTCCTTTAAGAGGCAGAAACCTCGAGCAGATCCATGGCTCAGGGTGGGCGGCCATCTGCCTCGACCGGTTGGGGTGAGAGAGAGAGAGAGAGAGAGAGAGAGAGAGAGAGAGAGAAGCCTACACAATATACACACAGAGGGGTACAGACAGTAAAGGTTGCTATGGACTAAATGAAAAATGGTACAGATATTTATAGTAGTGTTTATAACAGTCGTAATGTTAATGATTATAATAATAATAGGACTAGTAACAATAGTCGTTGCAGCAGAGGGTGTCGAGCAGGAACACGGGGGCAGCAGGTGACCCGCAACCACAGATCCAGACTCCACAGCTCCAGAGCCAGAAAAAGAAATATTAGGGCGAGTGTAAACAATCAACCCAAAAACACAAGGACAGAAAGTTAAACAAGACCGTGACACTAGGGGCAGAAAGACTACAAACACCAACAACCCAGGACGATGACACTTGGTGATCTGGCAACACACCACAGCTTGAACGCAGCTTTTGTCATTATGAGCATGTTAGCATCCTAATTAGCTTTTAGCTCATTTAGCTGTAGGAATGACCACAGGACAGCTGTAGTCTTATTTTAACAAAACTACAGAGAATAAAATGTATTTGTCTTCATAAAAGCAATGTCCTCAACTGTTCTTTGTTTTTCCAGCTGTCTCCATAGAAGCATAGGTGTCATTTACACTGGGGACGCTGATGTTCCCAGCACATTTTGAAATGGCTGATTTTGTCCCCATGACTGTTTGAAAGGATTTGTTAAAAATGTTCTGAGACATAGCTTGCACCAAGAAATGTTAACTAATAAATGCTAATAAGAAAACATGCAATTTAAATATAGAAGAAACAAATGTGCATTGTCCAAAACAATAACAGGCTGCTGTTGACTGCGTTATATATTTTTTTTATTTATGAATTGTCACCTGCCAGCTGAATTTCCACCATAAATTGGAGCAGAAAATGTCTCCAGAATGCAGGAAAACAAGTGTATTTAATGCTCAAAATCTTCCAGGGGACGACCACAAGACCCATATATTTCAGCATTTAACATTTCTTCAAAATAGTGTTACATTAAGACTCTTCAGCTGATCCAGAATGCTGCAGCACGTGTTCTGACAGGAACCAGGAAAAGAGATCACATTTCTCCTGTTTTAGCTTCTTTGCATTGGCTTCCAGTAAAATCCAGAATAGAATTTAAAATCATTCTTCTTACCTACAAAGCTCTTAATGATCAGGCACCATCTTATCTTAAAGAGCTCATAGTACCTTACTACCCCACCAGAGCACTGCGCTCCCAGAATGCAGGGTTACTTGTGGTTCCTAGAGTCTCCAAAAGTAGACTAGGAGCCAGAGCGTTCAGCTATCAAGCTCCTCTCCTGTGGAACCAGGTTCCAGTTTGGGTTCAGGAGGCAGACACCATCTCCACATTTAAGAGTAGGCTTAAGACTTTCCTCTTTGATAAAGCTTATAGTTAGGGCTGGCTCAGGTGACTCCTGAACCATCCCTTAGTTATGCTGCTATAGGCCTAGACTGCCGGGGGATTTCCCATGATGCACTGAGCTCCTCTCTCCTCTACTTTCTCTCCCTCTGTATGCAACCTTATCCCTTTATTGCATGTTACTAACACAACTTCTCCCCTTTCTGGTAGTCTTGTGCTTTCTCGTCTCTCTCCTCTCTCCTCCTATCACTTCCTGCAGGTTTTCTGGCTCTGGAGCTGTGGAGTCTGGATCTGTGGTTGCGGGTCACCTGCTGCCCCTGTGTTCCTGCTCGACACCCTCTGCTGCAACGACTATTGTTGCTAGTCTTATTGTTATTATTGTTATTATAATCATTAACATTACGATGGTCACCATTAACACTATTATAAATATCTGTACCATTTTTCATTTAGTCTATAGCAACATTACCTTCACTGTGTGTACCTCTGTGTGTATATTGTGTAGGCTGCCTCCCTCCCCTCTCTCTCTCCTTACATCTCTCTCTCTCTCTCTCTCTCACCCCAACCGGTCGAGGCAGATGGCCGCCCACCCTGAGCCATGGTTCTGCTCGAGGTTTCTGCCTCTTAAAAGGAAGTTTTTCCTTGCCTCTGTCGCCTAGTGCTGCTCTTGGTGGGAACTGTTGGGCTTCTGTAAATAGCATCATAGAGTACGGTCTAGACCTGCTCTTTTATGAAAAGCGCTGTGAGATAACTGTTGTTGTGATTTGGCGCTATATAAATAAAATTGAATTGAATTGAATTGAAATCTTTCCCATCTTGTTTTTGAGCATTGTCAGGTCTCGTGTATCATGACGCCCCTAATCTGAGACCTTATGTCCCCACCACTCTACTTTTCAACACAAAGTGACGCCCTTGATCAGGTAATGTATATGTGAAATGCATCATCTGCTCTCTTATAAGGTCACTTTCACACCAAGAATGTGCATTATTTGCCTTTTAGTTCTGGTCCTGTTCATGTTCACATTGACTTTTATAAAGGGGAGTCACATGGACTGAAATGCAAATCATTTATTGGAGATTTTATTTTGTGATGTCATTCAGCATCATCAGTGTCACATGGACAAACATGCTACAGTGCTTCACTTTTTCACAACTCTTCACAACAGTTCTTCTCACATCCAAAAGTGCACCGATGCAACCAAAACACACATCAGGACCAAGTCTTATAACATAAACATTTGTCTGCCAACAAAAACACAGTTTTACATTCTCGTGTGTGTTATATATATATACCTGGAAAAACCCGAACAGGCGGAATTACAAAATGTATCACTATCTTTAGAAAACTGTTTTATATATTTAGCATAGATCAAGATCCCATTACAACATAAATAAGGTCACAACTCTGTTTATTACATGGTTTATGCTGCCTTTCAGTAAATGTTGCAGTGATGCTTTCTGCCCTTTTTGCATCAAGTAATTGCAAGTACACAAAATGAAAGTAGTTCCAGTAATTCCATATAAAAACGATAGATATTCACTGTATGCATTTTTTTAAGGTGAGATATAGATAAAGAAATAAAAGTGGCACAAGTTCTCATCCACATCTCGTCTTCTGTCCTCTCCTGTAATCCACCTGGGAACGGATCTTTGCTTCAGATTGATGCATCCCTGGCGATTTTCTGCAGATGCGTCCAGAATGGAGAGTAAAGGTGGAAGTAAAAGTGACTGCATCCAGGACCCATAATTAACTCTCTTGTTATATAAATACAGATGTTTGGTGGTGGTTGAGTTTGAGGGAGAAAACTGTTTAGAAAGACGTGGTCACTGAATGCAATATGTAAAATTAAAACACAGGACTATCCTGAAAGATGTAAGGATTACATAGTATTGTGACCAGGGCCACAGCACAACATTCTGGGCCCTATATGCAAGAAGTCTCTGTGTTCCATAGGCCTACATTGAGAAAATGCTTTCTATACTGCATAATGAAAGACACCTGAACAAGACTTCACTAGAGTCATGTTTTATTTGCAGAAACAAAACAAAAATAAAATAAACAGCCTTGCCATTTGCATCATTTCAGTACTACACTGTGTCCAAGCCCACAGTGTAAGTTAGTGGTTCACAGGCATGTCGGCCTAAAAGGAAAATAATTAAAACTTTAGTAAGTTTAATTTATGATAATAATTTATGATCTAGCCTACTGTGCAAATATGCGTCAAGCTAGATTCCAGCCTTCGATCTAAACTGCTGACATTAGCTTAAACTATTCTTTAACTGCTAAGTGTGACTGTACTCACATTTCTTTTAAAATAAATTAATTAGCAGCTGTTTTCCTTCCCTTTGCTTTCTTGCTCTTTACTTTTTTTCTTTTTTTGGTACCTTGATTTCCCTTTCTTGGAGATATCCCCCCCCCCCTCCGATTTCCTGTGCTTGTAATAGGATTAAACTCTGTGATTGGATGCGTCTTTCCAAAATGGAGTCATAGTTGTCCATAAAAAACTTTGTACCTTTTTTTTATTTTTTCATTAAAGAACCAAATATTTTCTAAAGCTTAACATTATGAGAAAAATGAATGGGACTTTTGTAGCTAAGCTGCATGTAGATCACTTTTAAGCTTCACAGAACACCGTTCATAATCAGCAGATTTTAATAGCAGTTTCATGCTGAAATCCTGTTGTTGGTCCGTTTTGCTTTCACACTGCTACCAAACCACACCACAGATCCTCCTTTTATCGTGGTCACAAACTTTCTGGTCCTCACCAGAGTTCAGTAAAACATAGCAAATAGTCCAGGTGTGAAACCACTCTCATCACACTGAGGACCAGGTCTGATAAAGTCTTCCCAAATCCATAAAAGATCTGTGTCTTCATATGTAGTGGTTGCTATTAGCCTGGAGTAAGCACAGCGACTGTACTGCACAGGATCGTAATTAAAATAACCCGAGTCTGGGGGGTCGGTGGGAGGGATACCCAGGTGCTGCATACACAACCCCAAATACACGTCTTCAATGTAAAGAGCTTTAACGTGTCTGGATGCCTCCACAAGCTTTTTTGGGAGGTCTAGAGACAAAACGTAGCCCAGACCTAAAACATAATTTGGGTACACAGACCCAGGGTAAATCTCCTCGGGTACGTACCACTTAGAAAATGTATCTCTCCGAACTTCAGCTTCTCTTGCCACATGTCCGCTCATGTAGTTTGTCTTCGGAGCGTCTAACAACATGTTTATGAGCTTGGCCACATTTAGAAACATGTCTGAATCAATCTTCATGGCGTAAGAGGCGCTGGAGCAGTGGGCGTCCAGCCACTCCAGCATCATCATGGTTTTGATGGTCAGGTTCTTGTAGCAGTCCAGGAAGTTGCCCTGGATCAGGTCTTGATGTTCAGTGCTCTCCTGCAGCAGCTCTTTTTGGAGCTGCTCTGCTCCCTCTCCAATGTGCAGCCCCAGCAGGAAGAACAGCGTCACCACTTTGTCCAGCACCAGGCTTTCACCTCCCCAAGTGCTGCGGACGATGTCACGTTGGGCCCTGTTGTGGGGCGCCACAGGAACCATCAGAACCAGGTAGGGCTTCTTCTGCTCACATCTGTTAGGCTCATTTATAACGAAGTGGTACTTATACGGGTATTCCACTAAGTACGGCCCCTGAGGTACATAACGAAACGGTGAAAGGATCTTCTGGAACAAAACTATACCACTGCTAAGGAACCTGGGAATCCACATAAAGATGATGTGCCTCAAATCAAGGCAATGCAAGGTAAGTAATATGAGGACAATCAAGAAGAACAAGAGTGTGATTCTCTTTTTGAACATTCTTCTGTTTGCCTCCTGCTGGACGTCTTCACTCTGGCTGGAAACACAAAAAGAAAACAAGTCAGTGATCACAGTAATATATCCACAGTAACATAATGTTAAGGAACAAGTAATATATAGTTTTTCAAATCAGGGAAGTATTTGTTAAAAGAATACTTCGACATCTTGGGATTCTGCCTTTGTGTTACTTATGGACGGAATTATGGTGAAAACAAATGATTCCCTTTCTGCTGGGGAACCACTGTTTTTGAGTTTGTTTGTTGTTTAACAGTCTACAGTACTGAGCAGTCTCTGCGGCGAGCTCATGCAGCTACGGTTAGCCCCAAGCAAGCAGCAACCTCCGGGTCTGGAAAGTGAAGCATTACAATACCGCCTTGGTGATGGTGCCGTGGATAAGATCAGGTGTGAGAGACCCGGGTTCAATCCCCCACTGTGACCCATTCACCATTGTGTCCCTGAGCAAGACACTTAACCCCTAGCTGCTCCAGAGGCGTGCGACCTCTGACATATATAGCAATTGTAAGTCACTTTGGATAAAAGCATCAGATAAATTAATAAATGTAAATGCCTTAAACTTGCATTCTTTCTTATGGCCAGCAGGGGGCGACTCCACTTGTTGCAAAAATAAATCAGATTGTAAGGAAGTCTATATGAAGAGGAAAAACATAATCAAATACAGAGGAGAAAACACAGGGACGAAAAGAGGAAGAGTTTAACAAAATAAAACCGGAAATAACAACACTCCATGACAGTTGGTGGTCTCAGACTGGGAGACTCAGAAAGCCTGGCCTACATGGATTCATCATGCGTAATATTCATCCAGCCAGAGGGACGATCATGAACCGTTCACAGCGCGTCGGTCGCACTAGCGACACAACCCGTACCGGAGAGGGAGTGGAGCAGACCAGGGACAGGAGATCGGAGCGACCGGCTCGCTGCGGTCGGTTGTGATCGTTCCCTCTGGCTGGATGAAATCTGACGCTCCTGATTTTACGAAAGATCCATGATAATAGAGAAATATAGAAATTAATGGCAATGTAGCAAGCTGTCAAAATTTTAGAGACCCCCCAAGATATCACAAGCCCAGCTTTTAGGAGACCTGATGTCTTATTAAGGGGAGCTGAGCTCCCCCTGGCTCCCCCGTAGTTCTGGTCTCAATGGTCTCAATCACTAGTTTTTAGTAGATAAGGCATGATGATGATAATAATAATAATAATAATAATAACACATTACATTTATGTTGCGCTTTTACTCATCTCAACCCCCACCAATGTGTAGCACCCACAAGGGTGAAGCAGGCAGCCATTTGCCGCAGAATGGTCGTCACACATCAGCTTGAGGTGGAGAGGGAGGGAAACATAGAGCCAATTTCACGCGCCAGATGGAAAAAGCAGGGTTGGTAATTTTTTCTAGGACACCAGGGAACCTGGTACTCTTTGAAATAAGTGCCATGGTAATGACCACAGTGAGTCAGGACCTCGGTTTAACCTCTCATCTGAAGGACATCTCCTACAGCACAGCGTCCCCATCACTGCACTGGTCAGTCACCACCTGCACTGTTGAAACTCTGTCACACAGGGCTGTGATACAGTTTAAGTTTGGAATGCATCCATTTGAATGCAAGAAGTTAGTTTTGTAAGCTTAGAAAAGATTTGTTGCTTAATTTTTCCCGAGCACTAATGCATGGCCCAACACGGATGCTGAAAAGAGCCAGAAAGCAAGCAAGGCATGTCAGATGTGAATGAAGCATGTGTGAACAATTTAACATGATGGCATCATGGCACGACGCCAAATTAGGGAACAAGTAACATTTCAACACTTTCAACATTGCACAAGTGCAATTGCACAGCCTTTTCGTGTGGAGATTGCATGTTATCTGCGTGGGTTCTCTCCAGGTGCTCCGGCTTCCTCCCACCGTCCAAAGACATGCGGCCTGTAACTGGTGACTCTAAATTGACTGGTTGCTTGTCTATGTGTGGCCCTGCGATGGACTGGCAACCTGTCCAGGGTGGGATTGGCTCCAGCCCCCCTGTACGCAGGATAAGCGGTTGACGATGGAACATTGCACAAGTCTAAATTGAGTTGATTAAATGCATGATGTGGTTAAATTATTTGTTATCTAGGGGGTTTTAATTTAAAAACACATTCAGTTTAGTTCTTATCTTAAAATTATTTTGCAGGTATGCTTAATGCCTTGGTTGTCTTCAAAATCGGCAAGAAAATGCCAAAACGCCTTCACGCTGCCAAAAAGATGCATAAATGTGTGTTCATGTGCTTTGAATGTGGAATCAACATAGACGCCCCTCCAAAGATTATCAGAGTATATAAACAACACGCAGACATCTAGTTCACTACTACATGGACAGCAAACTAACCGTCATAACCATATTACAAATTACATGTTTGCAAAATATGTATATGCAATCCGTGATTTTGCACAAATCAAAGTTCTGCATACTTCTTTATGTCCCATGTACACTTTATTTCTCTTTTTGCAATAAAGATTTAAGAAGAAAAAAGAATATTCTGATTATTCCGACACCACCAGTGACGAAACGCGCTCTGTAGAGCAGTTTGTTCATTTGGGCTACTGTAAGTCAAGGCAAGTTTATTTGTATAGCACGTTTCAACAACAAGGTAATTCAAAGTGCTTTACATAAAACATAAAAGCAACAGGGAAATATAAAAAAGTTTAAAAGCAACATAAAATAATAAAAGTTACAGTGTTACAATCAGGGTTAAAAGAGTTAAATGGAAAATAAAAACAGGCTGAGGGGTTGAGCAAATAATTGAGTTACAATTATTTTGAAAAGAGAATAAACAGAGAAGTTCTCTCTAGCTAGTCTGTACTCGGGTCCACAGCAATCTTTGGGTCCACTGAAACTCCAGAAACCTTCAGACACTACAGAGAAACCAGGACATGTCTGTCCGCAGGCCGCTTTGATCCAGTTATACTCTGGACCCACCTGTGCGTTTACAGGTGGACGGAGGTTCCTGCAAATCACTCAGGCGCGAGATTTAAGACCACTTCCTTCACTCTGTTCAATCTCACTCTCATTATCTTTTCACTCAATTACCTACTCATTTCTCACCGTGTAAATATTTAATTAAAAGCAATGGTAAAAAGCTACAAACAAAGAAAAAGAAAACAGGACAGTAAAAGTTACAGTGCAGTGTAAGTTATCAGTAAAAAGAAAAATCTTAAATATTTAATTAAAAGCAATGGTAAAAAGAAAAGTCTTCAGTCTTAATTTAAAAGAACTGACATATTCAGCAGACCTGCAGTTATCTGGGAGTTTGTTCCAGATATACGGAGCATAATAACTGAACGCTGCTTCTCCTTGTTTAGTTTTGACGCTGGGGACAGAAACCAGACCTGATCCCAGACGACCTGAGAGGTCTGGATGGTTCATAACGAAGCAGAAGATCAGAAATGTATTTTGGCCCTAAACCATTTAGTGCTTTATAAACTAACAGCAGGATTTTGAAATCAATTCTTTGACATACAGGAAGCCAATGTAAAGACCTCAGGACTGGAGCAATGTTCCTTCTTCTTTGCTTTCACTTTCTGCAGAAACATGGTGGTTCAACATGGTGACGTCCATGTAAGAGGACCAGCGGTGTATGTAGAAATAATGGCTCATTCTAAGGTAATAAAAGCGTAACGGTTCTTTATGTAAGGTCTTTATACACCACTGAAAACATAGTTATGGATATTATATTGCATTTCTGTCATTAGATCCTCCTAAATATTACACACCGGACTTTTAACATTGTGAAACATCACAGTTTTGTTAAGCTTAGGCATCAAAACTACTTGGTGACGTAGAGAAAACCCATTCAGGGAACAATAATCCCGAGGGCCTCTGTATGCGACGCCCTGGTTTGACTGGAAACGTTATAGTGCTTTGCTTTAAGGTACTTACACATGCTGTTTTAAACTCTCACAACATTACAGAGACAAACACTGTACATTTTACTCCACTACAGATTTTACATGAAAAATATTCGATTGTCTTAAAATATGATGCATTGTTATAAATTAAAAACCTTGACCAGCTATTAAAATGCTGCTATCTAGTCATATAAAATGTATAAAATACTGGTACTTTACTTTAACTTAAAGGTCTAATGCGTATATACAGTATCTAGTTCTGCTACAAGGGGAGTGTGAGAGGAAGGGTAGTCAGCTGGTTGCAATCTGTAACTTCGTCATGCCACTAAATCCTACACACTGGACCTTTAGGTAAAGCTGTGACTGCAGGGGTATTTAACATTTATCCAAAATAAATAACCCAAATACACTGGACTGTAAATAAAAAAAAAATCTTCTTAAAGTCTTGTTTTATTCCAGAGATGTCGCTTGTTTGTCTGAGTTTTAAACCTACCAACAAAACAGTGGAATATGCGACACCATACAAAACACAAGACAAGATTAAAGGGTCAGCTCACCAAAGACAAAGCAACACATTTTGACACTTACCCTCCGGTGTTTTGGTCTTTTTCCCTGCGAGACTTCCTTCTGTCGTGCCAATACAAGTAAAGTTGTGGTGTTCAAGGCACTGAAAACTTATTTCTTTTGACTGAAAAAAACCTTTCTGTAAACTGACCCCGTCTGGATGATCCACATTTGTGACTGAAGGGCGTGAGTGAAATATTTTGTAAGACTGAGATATGATCATTGGTGGGATATTACAATGCAATGTTCAGTGTTTTAATAACCCCCTCCTTCCTCTGTGCAAAAGGCTCTCACTGTTTCCTGCTTTGCTGCTGACCGTCATAATTACTACATCCTGTTATTTGAACAGCAAGCAAATGTCTTTATTGACTGTGGTGCAAGAAATATTCAGATCCTTAACTTAAAGTCCCCATGACAACCAAATTGAGTGTTTTTCTATTTCTTCATATGACCTACACGTATTTTGAAGGTATTCTGGGGGCCTTACTGATAACTGTTCAAAAACAATTTTATAACTTGCACAAAAAGACAACTTGAAGAAAATCTTTTCTGGTTTTCTCTCTGATGACCTCAGCGACGCCCTGTGATTTAGAGTTTCCTGACTGACTTGTTGCTTATCAGGTAATAGCTTACTGCTGCTAAGGGTGCCAATTAAAAAGACAATTGGATGGGTCAACTATTTTTCCTGGTCATAAAGGAAACCCAGAACAGTGCAGGTGCGTGCATCAGTTTATAAAAGTCTTACAATGCTTACAATATCCTTGCTAGTTTAACTAATGTGTGTATGCAGTCTGTAGATGATTTACTCTTTCAGCATATATCTCCTTTACTCTTGCTCATGTTGACGGTGAATGAAATGTAACCTGCATTCACTAAAGCAGTGAAATAACACACCTGAACATTTTTCAATTACCCAGCAAAGTAAAACTCCTGAATTCCAGAGTGAAAACAAATGACTGCTTATTGTAAGCTCACAAAATTCTTAAAATGAAATCATAAACTACGTTGGTGTCAAAATGTATCACTACAATATCTAATCCTCAATTTCACCAAGTTTATTTGTTGTTTATTTGAGTAGAGACAGATACAAAAAAAAAAACAGATTATTACATTAAAAACAATCCGATGCCCTAGAAGGGCTTTTAACAGTTAAGATAATGAAGGAGTAAAATTTTACAGTGAATACAATAAAATGTCCAGAGACTAGTTAGCACCAATAAAAGTTAGTGTAGTAAATAAACACATTCACTCGAACTCACACAGATGCTTTACCTCACATACACACAGATATACATTTCATATGTCATGATCACACTGCTGCTGCTGTATGAGCCAGGCTTTTGTTTGTTTTTTGAAGGTGGACAGTTTAGTTAAAGTCTTTATATTTGTAGGAAGACAGTTCCACAGACACACAAACTATTAAAAAACAACTTTATATGTCTAAGATTAACAAAATTAACAAGTTTAAGATTTTATGTTTACTTAAAATGTAACAGTGATCGAATGGAATGAGCTTTTTATCTAAGATTTTTAGGGCGCGGTTTTAAAGCCTCTCAATAGGCTTTATGGTAGTTTGGCTGGTCTGGGACCAAACAGTGGTGCAGTACGACAGGATCATAGTGTTCAGAAAGACATGAGCACATTCAAATGTCAGACAGCTCCTGATCATTCTGAAACAGTTCATACTGGCCTTCATTTTTCTTGAGATGTTTTTGACTTTTAAAGTTTAGCGGCTCCATTAGAAATAATAGTAAAATGACCCTACTTCTCTGCTGATTTATTACCTCAGTAAACACTTTACTATTTAGTTTCATGTCTTTTTTAATACAACAGCAAAAAATCAACATAGCACTGCCTTAACGGTCAAACGTTTTTTCCCCCCTCTTTTTGGGGGTAGTGGGTCTAAGTCTTAAGGGGGTCATACCCCCCCAATCCCTCCGGTAATTCGAACCTAGCTGCTAACTAGCTGCCGTCATCTAGTTAATGGTTTTAGCTGTGTAGCACAGGAGCTTTGGACCGCCATGAGAAGGAGGTTGTGCAGCTAGCGGTCCTATTAGCTGACTCAGCCAAACCCAGCAAGAGAACCACCTCGGTACTGTATTCCTTGTTGTGTTCGGTACCGGTGCGACCGCCATGTACGCTCACTGGGAGCTTCTAGTCCCAGAATAGACCTTTTCTATTAGTTCACATTTCTGTAATAACAGCAGGTTGGGAGAATTTTTATGGATGAAACCAAGTTGATATGGCGTTAAACACCAGCACTGGTAAATTTTAATGAGTGTTTTTTTTTGTATGTTCACAAAGTAACTTGTTTAAATCACAAAGATTTCAGTTTTAATTCAATTCAAATTTATCTATCCCGGTAGGGCATTTCAGTTTCAGTCTACCGGTCGTATAAAAAACTAAACAGAAACCACAACAATTCAGACACCCTGTCAGTGACAACATATAAGCATTTGGCATAAACAACAACTTATGCTAAGAATATAGAACGTAAACTTCAAAATGCACCATGTACCAGGTTCAAATCCAACCCACGGCTCATTTATTCTCTCTCTCTCTCTCTCTCTCTCGTAATGGACTTCATATGTGTAATATTGGGAGGTCGAGATAAGACCACCTGTGTTTAGGATTGGAGGACTTTTTGGAGAACTGAAGGCAAAATTGCACGGAAACATGGAAATAAGGCCAGAAGTACAGCATATATGACAAAGTCTGAGATGTTGCATTTTATAACTGAATAATAACAAAGTCAATAAACCAAACTCATATAAGCAATAACCTGAAAGGGTCAATTAACATTGAACACAACATTGCAAAAGCTCAACAAAGGCTAAACTTCCTCAGGCAACTTTAAAAATAACGGCTCAAGCATCAACTCCTTGTTGCTCTGAACCACCAGATGAACTCAGCATGTCAAATGGGTGTAAAGATGCCTTTTTGAGTTGCGCTGATGCAAATCTCTAAACATGCGGGAACAAGTTAAACAAACCTGTCATTGTTTTTTGTTGTGAAACTTGAGTCGCGCCCTTATCTAAATGAGGTGGCTGCACTACAGTGGGCAGAAAGGAGCAATAATGTGGGAAACATTCTTCCACACCAAAGAAAGTGACACCTGACTGAAAATACTTTCATATATTTTTTTATCAAATTTAAACGCGTTCATTTTTCTGCATGATCAAACAGTCTTTGAATGAATTATTAAATATTTTGCTTTTGTTGTAGGAAATAGCAGGTGAGTGTAGCACAAAAGAGAATAACCTGACATGATAAATGTTGTGTCAAGAGGAGGATTTGTACTTTTCAGTTTAACTAAATATGTTTCTGTTGACTCAGGGTGTCATGCAGCAGCCACAGTTCATATTTCTATGAGAACAGGTACCGTTTTATTGTCTGAAATGCTAGAACAGGAAGTCACCCAAGCGCTCATTAAAACATCACTTATTAGTTAACCATTGCTTCAGCATGTGTCTTCTGTACCCTTATTATCAAGGGAATATCAGCAGGAACGTGGAAACAGGAGTTAAGTGTTTTCTTACCTTGTTAGTCTGCAGCGATGTCTGAATCCACAGCCAGAGGCGTGACCATGAAATGTGGTGTGTTCTCATATCTGAGCTTTAATTTTCTAAAGCTGGGGCAGGCAACGTAGGAGGAACTAAGAGGAGGCAGCTGGATTTTGAAAGAGTCCTCCCCGCAGTGCCCACTCCAAAGCCACTCCCCTGAAGGTGCATGCATGTGGACAGGTGGTGGGCAGGTAAGACAGCCAGTATTTTCAGGAAGTACTTACTGTTCTGCGACAGCCACAGATTAATTAAATTTTTGTGTCAGAGCATTTTTTTATGTATTGATCAGAACGTAGAGAGAATTTCAATAAATATAACAAAAGCTTCTGAAATAAACTGCCTACTAAAGAAGCCAATTTAACATTAAGATATTTTTATTTTAACACATTTTATGACATCTCAGGTATGGGGACCTTCCTCTCTCCCCATTGGCTCGCAGACATGAGGTTCAAAGTTGGACCAGGAAGAGTAACATGACCAACAGAGACGGCTTACTCAGTCTTTTTGTGTTGTAAAAGATGATAAACATTGAGGAAGCACATGACGCAGTTGTCCGTGGATATCAGTAAAACTCTGCAGAACACTATTTAAATGTGTAACAAATGGCCAGTGACACATTCACTTTTCTGCAAACACAAATTGGCTAAATAAACTTCGAGAGTCTCTTCAGCTGAGTGCTCACCAGCAGTGAGAAGCCCTGTAAAAACATTTCTCAAACCGACAATCAAGCCTTTGTAGTTGTGTCCATTTTGTTTCCCCTTATGTGTAAATTGGTTTGGCCAAGCCCTTGTGTCTCATTCAGTTAGGCCAGTTTGTTCTGTTTATATCCTGTTTTGCTGTATGCCTTTTTGAGTATAGCGATATTTGGTTGACCTCTTTTATAGGCCTAGTTGTGAAGTTTTTTGGTTTCTGTTGTTCAGTATTTTTGGGGTAAATAAAAAAAAAAATAAAAAAAACCCAATTTTTCAAAGAAATTCCTGTTCTCCTCTTTGCCTGACATGTCAGAACACTATTTTGCAAAGCTAAAATTATATTTATATCTGTTTTCATCAGCTGAAATGTCAACAAACCTGAAAAAAAAAAAAAACTCTCAATGACTTTAATTCTCTAACTTTAAAAGGGATAGTTGGTAGGTATAGGTATCGCTAACAGCTCAGTATCGAATAACGTCTGTCAAACCAGTACTTCATTCGATACTTTCTGTAACCAGATCGCAGCAAAAAATGACTATTTGTATGGTTTTGTTTATAGCCAAACACGCAAGCAACACACTGAAAGAAGGACATGCCTCTTTTATTTTTTTAGAAAGAACAGCAAATGCAAATGTACAGAGAACTCTTAAATGATACCAGAAGATGAACCAATAGAAAGCCAAGCTTGTGGTGATAAATGTGCAACAGTGACGAACGTGTTACAGCCGAAGGTGAGCGGCTGATAAAAAAAAAATAATAAAAAAATAAAAAAGAGTCATGCCCTTCTCTTTATTTCAGTGTGTTGCTTGTGTTTTTGGCTGCAAGCAAAACCATACAAATAGTCATTTTGCCGCAATTTGGTTACAAATACTATTGAATCAAGTACTGGTTTGACTGGAGACATCTGGATACTACTCAATACTGGGCTATTAGTGATCCCTACCAACTAACCCCATTAAAGTTAGAGAATGAAAGTGCAAAAACTGATTTTTCGTCAGGTGTCACTGTCTTTGTTGCTCTTTTGTGCCAACTATAGTGCAGCCACCTCATTTGAATTAGGGCGAGACTCAAGTTTCACAACAGAAAACAATGAAAGGTTTGTTTAACTTGTTCCTGCATATGTACAGATTCTTAAGAATTGAATGTAACACTAGTACTGAGTACTGACTTGATGCTTGAGCAGGTTGCCTAAGGAAGTTAAGTCTGAGCTTTTGAAATGGTGTGTTCCCAGGAATAAAAAAAAAAAAAAACTGACAACCTTCTTAGTCAGTTATAAAATGAGACATCTCAGACACATGGACAAGCGGGTGCAGGCACGTACGGGAAAAAAAAAAAAAAAAAAAAAAAAAGGCATGCTTCTCTCTTTCTTTCAGTGTGTTGCTTGTGTGTTTGGCTGCAAGCAAAACCATAAAAATAGTCATTTTGCCGCAATTTGGATACAAAAAGTATTGACTGAAGAACTGGTTTGAGTGGACACGTTTGGATACTACTCAATGCTGGGCTTAAATGTATCGAGCTACCCGTTCCTAAAGAAATAATTCTCTCTGTTTACTTTCACAAACGTATCAAAAATTTATCTAAACTCATTTGGTCGCTAAACTATTTCACTCCTCCTCTCTCACTCAAATACAAAAAAAAACTTCCAAGCTGTCTCTGATGATACTACCTGTGAGGAGGATCTGTATATATTTTTATGTAACCGTTATTTGAAAAACCTTGCTTGTCTGAACAACAATAAAAATAATAATAGGCTACCAATCAACCACTATCTCTTCAACAGGTGGCACTTTACGCTAGGTATCGAATGAAGTACTTGGTGGTCTATCACTTTAAGTGTACTGGTAGTGTAAAATTTTAAACGACACCCAACCCTAATAGTTGGATTTTTTTTTTTTTTTTTTTTTTTTTTAAGTGGGACAGCATGAGGTATAATCAGTGTATTACCTGCAGTCAGGAGCGTAGCATACAATTCTGGGCCCATGTCTCTTACATATCTTTTGAAATCTGTAGTGGAGATTAGTCACTAATTAACTGTTCATACCACATTTAAACAAGTAATAACAATTTGAAACATGCAGGATTGATATTAGCCTACAATAAAACAGGCTGTAATTGCTGCTGAGCTCCTCTCAGCTTCAAATGATTGCTTAGTAAAATATTTGTTTGCCACTGTGTGAGCTCACATCCTCAGTAACTGAAGGATATGTTCTGTTCCATCTGCTTCCTGATGTTAAGCTTTGCTACACTCTAAAGACATGGCTCTACTTGAGACTACTTGCTTAGAAATAAAACATGGCAAACAAAAACAAACTTAATTTCAGGCTTTTTGAGGGTTCCTGGGTGATCACTCTCACTGACCGTGGATAATTACCTCACACAGCTCCACTTTAAATCCTGAACTATCCCTTTAAAAAGGTTCTTTGTGTGCTACTTAAGTGTACTACATCAAGCTTAGATTTAATAAATAATTGAATTCCTAACCTGAGCCCATCTTCTTCAGAAGGGAGAAATGAGAAAAGGGAAGGAGGAGGGAAGAGTGGAGTCCTGAGAACAGCTCCCTGCTTAAACAGCTAGGTGTTAATAGTGTACATAAAAGCTGGACCCAGGGGGCGAGGGAGTCGATCCAGGTCCAGATAGGGAAAGCGAAGCGAAGTGGTTGGACTGAAGCTGCGAGGGTGCAGCAGGTGAGCTGGCAGGCAGGTTCGGGTGGTTCTGTGAGAACGAGGGAGAATTAACAAGGATTAGTAGAGGCGAGGTCACAAACAGGTTCATTACGAGAGCAGGCCAAGGTGTGTACCACGGAAGATGATCTGGCGAATACTGGCGTGCTGGACCTGCGGTTGATTTGGAACGAGGTGCAGGTGTGTGGAGACACTGTGCAGGAGCCAGGAGGAAAAGCACGCCCATCTGCAAACTAGCAACTCACAGGGGAAAACAGACAGACAGGCACAATAGGATGGGTAAACAGCAATTCAATTCAATTTTATTTATATAGCGCCAAATCACAACAACAGTTATCTCACAGCGCTTTTCATAAAAGAGCAGGTCTAGACCGTACTCTGTGATGTTATTTACAGAAGCCCAACAGTTCCCCAAGAGCAGCACTAGGCGACAGAGGCAAGGAAAAACTTCCTTTTAAGAGGCAGAAACCTCGAGCAGAACCATGACTCAGGGTGGGCGACCATCTGCCTCGACCGGTTGGGGTGAGAGAGAGAGAGAGAGAGAGAGAAAGAGAGTGAAAGAGAGAGAGAGAGGGATGTAAGGAGAGAGAGAGGGGAGGGAGGCAGCCTACACAATATACACACAGAGGTACACACAGTGAAGGTAATGTTGCTATAGACTAAATGAAAAATGGTACAGATATTTATAATAGTGTTAATGGTAACCATCGTAATGTTAATGATTATAATAACAATAAGACTAGCAACAATAGTCGTTGCAGCAGAGGGTGTCGAGCAGGAACACGGGGGCAGCAGGTGACCCGCAACCACAGATCCAGACTCCACAGCTCCAGAGCCAGAAAACCTGCAGGAAGTGATAGGAGAGAGGAGAGGGACGAGAAGCACAAGACTACCAGAAAGGGGAAGTTGTGTTAGTAACATGCAATAATGGGATAAGGTTGCATACAGAGGGAGAGAAAGTAGAGGAGAGAGGAGCTCAGTGCATCATGGGAAATCCCCCGGCAGTCTAGGCCTATAGCAGCATAACTAAGGGATGGTTCAGGACTACCTGAGCCAGCCCTAACTATAAGCTTTATCAAAGAGGAAAACAGCAGAGAACAAAAAGGTAAACAGGGGAGAGGGACCACTGGATACAACATTGTGATTATATGCACCTCACTGGCTGAACGTATGCGTTTCCACATATGCAAGATCCTGCTGACAAAAGCTTGCAACACATTCGTAGCCTTGATGCATCTATTATTTATTTGAGGCAGCAAACAACCAAGACATTATAAAAGTGTCACGATCATGGTTTTTGTATTTTGTATTATTTTGGCCCACTTTGTATTGATTCTTGTTTTAAAGTCAGTGTTACGGTTCGTTCTCCTGTGCTTGATTATTTGGGCTGTCCTGCATCAATGATTTATGCTGCGTTCCAGGCAACTCACAACTGGGGAATTTCCAACCTCCAACAAGAAAAAGTACTATGGAACGCCACCTGAAGTCAGATTTCCTACTCGTGACCTCGTAGAAAAAAATATCTGCCAACTTCACGAGTAGCACCCGAATGAAGTCACACGACAGCGGCACCTCCCATGGAAGCTGTCACAGGGTTGTAGGGTTGAGCAGGTTGGACGACCCAAACGCAGGACACGAAGCAGGTCAAGTTCAGAAAAGGTTTATTTGACCAACAAGAGGCGAACACACTTACTTCAGAGTGGCTGAATCCAAAATAAATGATCCACAGGCATACACAAAGAGACAGCGCTAGGCAGGCTACACACTACAACTGCGCAATGACCAGACAAAGACTTCTTCTTCTTCTTCTACTGGCTTTCCGGCAGACTAGATGCCTTACGGCATATTGCTGCCACCCACAGTTCAGTCTCGGTATCGCTTTATAGCACCTTCATTCTCAGAGGGCTAATCCTGTTGCAGATATAAAATCCATGACTGCTTCCACTATCCTTGATTGGTTCTCATGAGGATTCAAAATATCTCTCAATGTCACTGCTTGTAGTCCATCTCCTGCTACCTCAGAATACAGTTGTTCTCTTTGCCTTTTATACTGTTGACATTCCATAAACACATGATTAACAGTCTGTTGTTGATTGCAGGTTCTACAGAGCCCATCCTCATGTTTGCCTATCTTCGCTAGATCCCATGCAAATCCAGTGTCCCAGCCTTAGTCTTGTCATAATTACAGCTTGTCTTCTGGATTTACCCAAGCAACTCTGCTCTGTCTTTACTTTGTTTTGTATTGCATAATAATGCCGGCCCTTTGTTTCCTTTTCCCACTGCCTCTGCCATACTACTATAGTGTTTTCCTTAATGACAGATCTACATTCGGTGACCCCAATACAAACTTCTAAATCAATATCTCTTTTCAGAGTCATTTTTGCTACCTTGTCTGCCACCTCATTCCCTTCTACCCCAACATGTGCAGGGACCCAGAGAAATCCCACTGACCCTCCAGCCTTTTCGATTTTATACAACAGAACCATCAGCTCCATAAACAGATCTGGCCGAGCTCCCATATTACTTCCTCCCAGAGTTTTTAACACTGAAGCCGAATCTGAGCATATTACTGCTCTCCTTGGTTGCACTTCCTCTATCCACTTTAGTGCCCATATAATAGCTAGAAGTTCTGTTGTATACACCGATACCCCCTCAGACAGTCGTTTAAGCTTTACATATTCATATTGTGGGATATAAAAAGCAAAGCCTGACTTCCCAGTTTGTGGATCTTGGGATCCATCTGTATATATCTGAAGGTAAGTTCCCCACTGATTTTCCAGTCTTCGCTTTACCATATTGGGATACTCTGTGCCTTCATGATGTTTGATGTTATCCATTATACTAAGATCTATTTCTGGTATGGACATCAACCACGGTGGTACAACTGACCAGTACACTTGCGGGGCCATCCCTTCCTCCTTCAGTCCCAGTTCCTCAATTTTTTTCCTGATGTTAAACATAAAACATTCCTTCCTCCTTTTCCCTGATCCCCACTCCCACGCATTACTTAGAACTATTTTTGTAGGGTGTTCTCCTTTATGTGCCCATAATTTAACAATATACTGCATTGCCAATTTCTCCCGTCTAATTGACAATGGCATTTCCCCCATCTCTACCAACAAAGCTGGGACTGGAGTTGTACGGAGGGCCCCGCAACATAGTCTCAGTGCCTTAGCTTGTATTACTTCCAGCCTCTTTAAATGTGTATCAGCGGCTGTCCCATAACACACACATCCATAATCCAACCTAGATCTTATCATTGCCCTGTAGATCATTAGTTGAGTATCTCTGCCTGCACCCCATGTGCTACCTGAGAGGGAACGCATTACATTTAATACCTTTTCACACTTATTTACAACATTATCTATCTGCTTTTTCCATGTTAGCTTCTCATCCAAATGCACACCCAAAAATTTGAACTCTTTAACCCTCTCAATTGCTTGTTCATACAAAAATAAACCACCACATTCAGTTTTCTTATTACCAAATATTATATACTTTGATTTCTCCACTGATATCCTCAACCCCCACTTTTCACCCCAACTAGTTACTTTGTTCAGAGCTACTTGCATTTGCTCAGTTATTTGTTTGACATTCCTGCCCCTTTTCCAGATGGCCCCATCATCAGCAAATAGAGATTTTCCAAAACTATTCCCAATTTCTTCAAATATATCATTTATCATAATATTGAAAAGGACTGGGCTTATCACGCTACCCTGAGGAGTTCCGTTATCGATACCTGTTCCAGCTGATAAAGCATTTGCAACCCTAACTTGAATTCTCCTGTCCTTCAAGAAGTCTTGTATCCAGTTAATCATCCTCCCTCTGACTCCAGCCTCATATAGTTTTATGACAAGCCCCTCCTTCCATAGCATGTCATACGCCTTTTCAATATCAATAAACACCGCCATTAATACTTCTCTATTCACCATTGCTTTCTTTATATCACTGTCAAGGGACGTAACGGCATCCATGGTACTTCTCCCTCTACGGAATCCACTTTGTACTGATGTAAACCATCCCTTCTTCTCTAACTTATAAACCAATCTGTCTGTAACCATCCTTTCCATTATTTTACATAGGACTGATGTCAGTGCAATGGGCCTGTATGATCCTGCCTTATAAGCGTCTTTCCCTGGTTTCAATATTGGAACCACCAGTGCATGCTTCCATGTGCTAGGTAGACTTCCCTCTTGCCATATGTGATTCATTAAGGCCAAGATTTCCTCCAAAACTTTGTCACTAAGATTCTTAACAATCTCATAGCTAACACCATCCTTTCCCGGGGCTGTTTTCCTTCCTTTTCCAATTGCCCTGTGCAATTCTTCTAATGAGAAAAATAAATTACCCACATCAGAATTATCATTATTTATCTCAAGTTTGTATCGATTTTGCTCTAATATCTCATTTCTTTTCCTTATACCTGCTTCACCAATGTTAGCTCCACTGTGAACAGCTCTAAAGCTATTTTCACATAGCTTTGCTTTATCCAAATCACTTGTAGCAAACAATCCTCCCTCCTCTAAAACTGGCATTTTCCTTTTCCTATTACTTCCTGCCATACGATGTACTGCCCGCCATATTTCTGTTACTGCAGTCTCTGCCCCTAGTTTTCCACAGTATTTTCTCCAGCACTCTTTTTTTGCAGTCTTAATCACTCTGCGTGCTTTGGCTCGCAGTCTTTTATATTCTACTGCTTTATCTTCTGTTGGATGTTTCCTCAATGCTCTATACCCGCAATTCCTGTCTCTTACT